AATCAAAAGACTAAAAACTGTGTTTTCTATTTAATTCAAATCTTGCGTTAATTTTGGAACACCCTTTATATATATATATATATATTTATTATATATACACACGTTCTTCTCTCTTTCCTTTCTCTCCCTCTTTCTCTCCCTCCGTGCACTCCCGCATACGACGTCGAGAGAAAAATGAATACCAGGAGCACCTCATTGTCTCGTTCAGAAGCCTTGTCAGCTTCGCTCCGCGCGCGTCACCACGTCCGCAATCTCTCTCTCGCTCTCTCTCTCTCCGCGCGACAAACGCGTCGACGAGGAACGCAAATGTCGAGAGGAGAATGCGACCGTTAGGAATGAAGAAATTGTTAATTAGTTTACTCCAGTCCAGCCGTTAGACCACTCCGAGCGAAATCGAGTCAATTTATTGTACGTCTCTTTCAATGTACGTTTCTACCTTACATCAGCAAACGTCATTTAGCAGAAATACGTGAAAATATCTCATGCGTTAAACTTCCCGTTTGCAGGGCGCAAGCGAAATTTTACTCTCAAATCTCATCCTCGTTTTTGCTCGAAAATTGTAATTTTTGTATTAAATCAAGCTTTTAGCATTTTAAAAACTGTTTTGATAACATAATGAAGATGTTGAAAGGTAGCCGTGAATTCTTTTTGAAAGCAGTAGAGCGGTAAAAGAAAATTTGGGTTGAACAAAAGAGGCTGAAATTGCAGACGGAAGCAGTAAAAAAAGAAAAGATTGCAAACCGAGGATTAATTACAATTTCGGAAAACATGTTTTTACAATTTTGCATCGATATGTTTTCTTCGATTTCTCTCATGCGTTCGAGTATAGTTCGCGCGGTTTTCGCGGAGATCGGTTCCGTAACAATTGTATATAATAACCATGATATAACGGATATCGTGGTCAATCGGATATCAACGAGTACCAACCTTTCTCATAGGATTCCCGTTTTTCTGTTACAGTAAACCTAGCGGACAACGGCAGCCAGAAAGTGGACATGACACACTTTGACTTGCTGAGAGTCCTTGGCACCGGAGGTGAGAAATCATTCGATAAAGTACTTTTTCCGAAACGTGGTCCAGTTTAATAACATTTGTAATCAATCCTGAATCATAACATTTACAACACCGGTAATAAGTGACATTAAAACTATTTGTAACGGTAATAATAACACTTGAATTATTTCTAACGGATATTGTAATATTTATACCGTTATAGGCATAATCGAATTTTAAACGTTTTTTTTTTGTTACACGATATATTATATTTAAAAGTTAATTTCCGGTAATGCTTTAGATCTTTTTTTCCGACTGTGCTATATTTTTTCAATATCGGCATGGATATTTTTCTTAATCTCCGTTATTATTAACGTCTCTAAACTGCGAACCCTTTTAAAATCGATCATCTCGTTTTCATACAGCTTACGGTAAAGTATTCCTGGTGCGAAAGAGAACGGGTGCTGACTCCGGGCGGCTTTATGCCATGAAGGTGCTGAAGAAGGCCTCCATCGTACAGAAGAAGAAGACGACGGAGCACACCAAGTCCGAGCGGCAAATCCTGGAGGCTATCAGGGACAGCCCGTTCCTGATAACTCTCTATTACGCGTTTCAAACTGACGACAAACTCTGTTTGATCTTAGGTGAGACTCGGCGAAGAACTGAAAAGAAAAATAAGCCTACCAATGGAAAGGGCAGAGGATAAATGAAGTAAAAATGAAGAAGAATAACTAAAATAAAAAAAAAAAAAAAAAAAAAAAAAAAAAAAAAAAAAAAAAAAAAAAAAAAAGAAATACAACATACGTGCGTGTCGGGTTAAATTTTGCTGAATAAATAACATAAAAGTTAATGTTTTGTCTCTGCAAAATAATATCTTAAATACTTCGGTATTACTTACATTACAGACAAAATAAAAAGAACTATCTATCCACGGATAAAATACAGGATTGTATATATTTGTGCAACGAAATTGAATAAAAATAAAAGATATCAATAAAATAAACCCTTTTTTTTTATTTGATCTATTACGTGTATCGAATGTCGTTGTATAGATATGACGCATAAAGAAGACAAATTTGTTCTATTTCTTTCTTCCCTGAGGATATAGAACTTTGAACTTACGAGATATTTTTTTCTATTTCCAGAATATGTCGCCGGCGGTGAAATGTTTACGCACCTATATCAACATGACTGCTTCACGGAGGACGCAGTACGATTTTATATTGGCGAAATTATCCTGGCGCTAGAGCGCCTTCATGACGTACGTATTAATATACTAATGTTATATGTGCGCACAAACAACAATAAGATACCTTTAATAAGAGACGAGGAACGAAAACAATTCGCATAAATAATAACGAAATAAATTAAATTGAATCTATCGTATATAATATTTTATTTGATGTTTTTGCAGCTTGGCGTAATATATCGGGATATCAAACTTGAAAATATACTTTTGGATAAGGAGGGGCATCTCGTGTTGACGGATTTCGGTCTCAGCAAAGAATTCCTACCGCACGAAAGGAATGGCAATGCGCGTACTTACTCGTTTTGCGGAACTATCGAGTATATGGCACCGGAAGTGGTAAAGGCGGGCCCGAACGGCCACGATATCGTGAGTTAATACCTGTCTATCTTTTCACATTTCCAACTCGCATGTTATTTCATCCCCGTATCCACTTTTGTAGCTTCTTTTCTCGGATGACCACTCGGTGATAATCTGTTTTATCTCTCTTCCTAGAAGATAATTAAATTTATGTGATACTTGAATTATTAAGCGTATAATATACTCGTATATCATATAATATTTGAATATATTAATGAAGAAGTGTAAACTAATTATGAAATTAAATTTTCACAAAACAAAAAATATATATTTTAAAGTTACATATGTAAATAAAATATATAAAAGAAGATGCAATTGTGTCTTGGATATAATTAACAGTAATACAGAATAAAGACACGTATGTATGTTTAAACGTATGTATTGTAATCGAGCTGGTATTCTCGTAGGCTGTCGATTGGTGGAGCGTGGGCGTATTAACGTTTGAATTACTGACCGGTGCGTCGCCTTTTACGGTGGAGGGCGAGAAAAATAATCAACAAGAAATTTCGAGGAGGATATTGAAGAATAATCCGCCACCAATGCCGAGCCATCTGAGTGCCAACGTGAGCGATTTCATCACCCGCTTGTTAATCAAAGATCCACGACAAAGATTGGGCGGTGGACCGCGCGACGCTAAAGAACTCAAAGAGCATCCCTTCTTCATGGATGCGGCACCGGCCTTTACTTGGGAAGGTCTGGAGAAGAAACAGATCAAGCCACCTTTGATTCCCAAAATTTCGCACGAATTGGATACTAGCAATTTTTCAGACGAATTCACGAAGATGAATGTTGTCGTTGACAGTCCGGCGGTCATTGATGGTGACTATCCTGACAAACACTTTAGGGTAAGTTTTCTCTTAATTTTTTTCGTTATTATTCCGAACAAATAGGTAGCCGTAACAGTCACGGATTTTATTAAACATTTACAAAATTTCTCACCTGGATGTTTTTACAGGGTTATTCCTATGTAGCGCCTTCGATACTATTCACCGACAACGTGGTGAGCAGGGATATCTTCGGTGGCGAGGCCAGTTCGCAACGGCCCTTGTTGTCCGATCTGTTGAACACGTGTTTCGAAGAGTCCACGTTCTTCCAGACGTACGAGTTAGACCAAGCGGGACCAGCTCTAGGCGACGGCAGTTTTTCGATTTGTCGGCGGTGTCGCAATCGTAAGACCCAGCAGGAATACGCCGTGAAAATCGTCAGCAGGCGAGTGGATTGCAGCCGGGAGGAGAATCTGTTGCGTGCGTGTCAGCGTCACGCGAACGTAGTGAAATTGATAGAAGTTCATCACGATCGACTTCACACGTACATCGTGATGGAATTACTCTTGGGCGGGGAATTGTTACAACGACCGCGCCCATTCTCGGAGCGGCAGGCCAAGCGAGTGATGCGGCAATTGGCATCCGCAGTGCGATACATGCACTCGCGTGGTGTAGTGCATCGTGATCTCAAACCAGAAAATATCGTATATGTTCATCAAGGCGAAGATTCGCCTGTAAAGATAGTTGACTTTGGATTTGCGCGGATGAAGAATAGCTGCGAGCCGTTACATACGCCCTGCTTCACGCTCCCGTACGCTGCCCCGGAGGTTGTGGCCAACCAAGAATACGACGAGAGCTGCGACATGTGGTCCTTGGGGACTATTCTGTATTTCATGTTGTCCGACAATCCACCTTTCCGCACAGATACACCTAACGTGGCGATGCGTATCAAAGCCGGTGAGATTAATTTTGACAGCGGGGCTTGGAGTCATGTGTCCCCGGGTGCAAAAGAAGTGATGAAAGGTTTATTGATGATCGATCCCAATAATAGACTCACCGCAGTTTCTCTGGTGTATCATTCGTGGCTGACGACACATGACACAACGATTCTCCCGGTAACACCAGCCACTGATACGGTTCACACGGACAATACGGTAGCCGTCAATGCAACGCACGAGAGCGAGAGTTTCCGGCTGCGCGAGGTTGATGCCGCCAAACTGGCTCAGCGTCGCAAGCTTAAACGTTCCAATTCCAGTTCCTCCACATCGAGACCGTCTTCTTCTTCCTCTACGAGTCCGTCGTCGGTTCAGTTGCGTCTACCAAGCGGTACAGCAAACAGTGCTGCAAACACTTCCACCTCGTCACCAAGCGTCTTCGATTTTAATGACGAAGTTGTTAGCGAGTACCTGAGTTCCCTATCTTCTTCTTCCGATTCGAATTCCTCAGTAAGACTTTCACTGCAAGAATTCGAGAGAACCGCGAAAAAGCGGACCAAACGCAATGCCGACCATGAATCGTGTCAACCGATAATCCCGACGAAAAAGCATCGGCATCGACGCGACGTTGACAGCGAAGCTAGTGGCAGCAGTAGTAACGGTCCAATGACACGATCGCGGAAACGTAAACTCGAACAAATAATAAATTCGGACAGAGATATAGGTTCTGACAATTCCGCGGAATCGTTCGAGTCGTCCTCGCAAGTCGTCGCGCATGACGAAGAGAATGTCCATAGGAGACATAAAGCTGACAAGCGGCCGAAACGCCTTGCCACGATTACACTCGAGTAGAGAGTTTTCCTACTTATGCTTGGTCCAGTAACGCTCCAATGAATTCACACTTTGTTTCCTATGCATTTTACACGGTATATCTTTATAACACTGCTGCCTTCTGCGTTCGTACAGGACGCGAACATCGCATCATTCCTATCTCATCAGAGTTTTAGAATATCGTATATAAATATATAAATAGCTATAACATAATTATGCCATCCCATCTTCTTAAAAAAAAATCTTGGTCCATTTTCTATCTAAATAATTATATAATTGAAAAGTGCATTCTTACGATGCTAATTTAAATATATTGGATAGATACCAGAAATGGAACGTGTATAAAACGATATATCACTATGGTCAGGGTCTCAACAAAGTATCAACGTTTCTCCGCGAAGATTTGCGCAATATACAGAATTTATTATGCAGTGTACAGAATTTTATTTTTATTACTTCTATCAGAGAGAAACAGAGAAATGTAAAGTAGGTGGATGCAAATAAGATGGTGAATCGTTTTGTTGCGTTAAACTGGGATTGTCTGTGATTATAGTGCGAGGATGACAAACGTTGTAAGTTATTATAACTTATTACACACTCCCGTTAAAATTTTCTTCCAAAAATTCACTTCTGCAATCGATAATCATAAACATGATGATTAGTGATTAACTAGCCAATACGAAGAAAATTTTAGCGATTGCTTATAACGAGTGTATATGTGGTGAATGTGCCTCAAAAGCTCATTTCATTATGAGTACATTAAAGATATTAATGTAATAGAAATGACACGCGATTACGCGAAGATAACAAAAGCAACTGTTATTACCAGTGGTACCTCAATCAAGAAAAAGGAAAAAAAAAACATATTTAAAAAATACTATTTGTTAAAAAAGAAAATATAAATTAAGCACTCTTTTACGAATAGTGTTATTGAGAATAATGACACATATTTATACGATTAAAGAAAATTTTGTTTATATAATTATATACATTATATTCTATTAATTTTTACAGATGACTATAAAAAAAAAAATGACGATGTTGATTGACGATGTTGATAGATAATAAGTAAAATCGAAAAGAATTTCTATTCAGTATTTAATTTTTTTCGCATAGAAGCCTCGTCACACTTTGATGTATTTGTGTAGTATTTGATATATGTGACAATTTTGAGAATGATGGAAATGAATGGGTTGCGATAAAGCATTCGGAATGCGAGAAAATGTATTAGATTTAATTAAGCCAGATTATAGTTTTGTGATCCAATGTGTTATCGTTAATTCGTGATTGATATAATTCCTCCTAATTCGAGAGTTGACTAATTATCGACTTATATAAGTGAAGGAATTAGTTCCAACCAATTATTTCGTATTTATCCCCTTTATTGTTTTTGTACTGTGTATCAAAATTTAAAATAAAAAGTATGTGTTGGGGGAAGATATTTTTTCAGGTAATTTTGTATCAGGAAAAGAGGATTCATAAGAAAGGGCAACATTTCCGGCCTTGATCTTTTGATTTTGTTAGATTGCTGTGCTTATACTAGTGAGATAATTGTTTTAATTGATGTGTAATAATTGCTGTGAGAGATGAAGTAACAAAATGGTAAAGACTGAAATGTGGTTGTATATCAACTCAGGGAACAGACGCGTTAATTGAGTAACGTTTTGTGTTATCTTGTATGAGATAGCGTTGTATGAAAAAAAGCATGCTTCTACCAAAGATGACTGAAGCGACACTCCTCTGTTAAACCAAATAAAGTACGGTGTGTAGCGGAGAGAAGCTATGCGTGAGATATTATCGAATTTATAACATGTATATAATAGTTATTATATATATAGATATCTAAAACGCGAAAATGCTGATGTAACAGATTATATCTATATATTTAATATATCACATGTCGCTAGAGAATCATATTCTTTAAACAAGGAGAGATATATACATTTATACATATATTATACATTTATATATATATAATATGTATGTTATATATACATATGTTTACATATATTATACATACGTATACATACATATACATGTATATATACATATATGTCTTATTCAGGATCTTAAAAGTTATTTAAAGTTATAAGCTTTATAAGTTACATCGGTTGCCTCCAGAACAAATTTTTTTCTATGACTATATTATTACGTTACACGAACACTCTTTTTCGGGGTTCAAAGGATGTATACATATGTATATATAAATATTATAAATATATATTGAACAGTTAAATAAGTCGAAGCTTGTATCATACGAGAGTGCTGTTCTGTTGCTATAAATACGTAAAAGAGACACCTACCTTTGTTACCACTGGTTGTTAAAATATATCATAATGCAATATTTATTTATAAAACGCTGTTTGTTGTTTTAAAACCACCCAACTTCCCTTCAATTTGAAATGATCAAAAGACTATTCTTGGAATAAATTTTTCATTATGAAGATAATTGAAGAAATTACTTTCGTTAGTATAACAGTCTGAGAATTTAAAATTTCTGAAAGAGAAATACTTTATATAAAAATATTTTTATGCAAAATAATTTTTATCATTTATTGTTATTTTTTTTATTAATGTTTTGAAAATTAAATTAATTAGGGAAACAATATTGTTTTTAACAAATTTAATTTCGTTAATATAATAGTTTACAAAAAAATATGTAATTATTGAAAGATACACTCTATGCAAATTTTTGAATGAGACAATTCTTAAAATGGTTGGATATGATAGAGCAATAGGAGTCAAGCACGGTAATTCTTGTGCAAACCAATACGGTTAACAAAACAACTTTATTAATAATTAATCCGCTTACATGTTTCGGCTCACTTTTGAGCCATCTCAGAGACAATATGATATAATTACAAAAAATTTTTTAGCTCACTAAATTCTATTCAAATCAGTGTCAATTATGTTGAAATTAATGAATAATTTTTAATACACCTAAAACGTTAATCGCAAAAAAAGGAAAAAAAGGGAAAAAACTCTGATATTAATTATAGTCCAGACGGACATTAAAACTAAAACTGAATCTTTAATAATTTAATCTTAATATAATAAAGAATGTACACTGATTGAGACAATTCTTATCACATTTACTAGTTTATTATTATATATATAAATTCTAATTAAAAATAATTTTTTAAGAAATGCAGACAATATACCGCGAAATATGATTTTAAAATACTAATAGCTAGAAAATTATAAATTTGTTATTAATTTTTTCGCTCTTTCATCCTTCAGAAACAAGGACTGTATTTTCGACAAATATTTCACACGAAAATGTGTGTACGTACAAAAATACTATAAGTAATATTTGTTACATATATTAAGACTTCCCTAATATCTTCACATGCAATATTTTTCGAGAATAAAACTCCTGCGTCCTACGTCTTATCCAAAATACGGAAACCACAAAGGCTGATTAAACATACGATTAAAATAAAGAAATTTAATACGTGCCGGAAACCCCATTAATCACGATTCAACGTTTACGTTCAAATTTAACGTCTTCTCGATCGTTCATTGCGATTGGTCGCATCGTTCATTCTGTAACCATTCTAGTACTATCGATATCGGAAGCTGCCAATCGTGTTGCGCGACATTGAACGCGATCGGCCGGCTCGTGAGAGGCGATAGGTCGATCGCGTGGCGTCCCTGCGACACCACGGCCAATCATAGCACGCGGCGCTTCTTTCCCGTTAATGGCGGCGCGAAACCCGGCTTGTGATGTGGCGTCGTCGCAAGCAAGCGCACTAATCCGACCGTTGGCTGGCGCTGCTCGATCCGGTAGTGCGCATTTGACTGCGAGGTGTGCGAGACGTTGATCGGACGATCACGGAGGTAGTACACGCGTTCGCTCGATCGACACGGACGCGCTGACGTTAAACGTTATCAGCAACGAGTTGATGATACGCTAGACACGCGCCGGTGTTCCCTCTTTCTCTCTCTCTCTCTCTCTCTCTCTCTTTTTCTGTCTCACTTCCCCTCAGTGTCGCCGAGGGTGTCTAATCGAGAAGACGTAGAGTGCCTCGTACGAGACCGCAGGCGCGAGAATTCGCGTGCAGGCTAGTCGTGTACTTTCCGCAACGACAATGTCAACGAAATCAAGCAAGAAAACCGCGGCGGCAGCCGCAGCCGCCGCTTCCGCTTCTTCCGCCTCCGTCGCTTCATCGTCCTCCAGCATCCAGTCGCCGCCACCGACTACATCGACGCCGATCGGCCGGCGACCCGGCAGTCCGCTTAGCCCAACCCGATACTCCCGGCTGCAGGAGAAACAGGATCTACAGAATCTCAACGATCGTCTGGCATGTTACATCGAAAAGGTGCGTCATTTGGAGACCGAGAACTCCCGGCTGACCCGGGAGATGCAGACTACTCAGGAGACCGTCACCCGGGAGGTCTCCAGTATCAAGGCTATGTACGAACACGAGCTGTCCGATGCGCGGAAGCTGCTCGACGAGACTGCCAGGGAACGCGCCAAGCTGGAGATCGACACCAAACGTCTCTGGGACGATAACGAGGATCTCAAGAGCAAGTAAGTCGAGCAATATACGTTTAATTTATGTATATTGTGTATATATATATATATATATAGCATTTTATACTCTGAGTAAAATGATAAAATAAGTTTTTTTGTATCTAACTGTGTTGCTTCTTATTTGCAAAATAGATAGGAAAGTTAGATGGCATTAATTAGGATCGTTATTGACAAATATCGATCAACGCGATCGAGCATCCGAGTAACTTGTTTCCTGACGGTGCTGTGAAAAAAATCATGTAAAAAGATAAATTAGAATTTTATTTGTCGATCACATTGGACGGATGCACGCAATTGGGCACTGCAGTCGGCAAAGTAGTGAAACTCGGATTTGAATACAATGGAGTCTGAGATTTGGAGAAATACGAGCTTGGTTGTGGAGTACAGCCGCAATGTGAAACTCTTTAATTCATGAATCATCGGTACCGAGCTATACTCAATTTTTCTTTCGATAGTCTCGATCCTCATTAGCACTTCTTATTATATTTCGCAGTCACGCATCCACGCGTGTCCATAACCTTAATACAACTCCGTATTTGAAACACTTAGTTCCGATCCTTCCCTATTTTTGACACGATCCTGCAAATTGAACGTCCCTTCCCTCCCCGATTATCCCTTGTATTTCCTATTCGATCACGCATAAAGGAAAATTTTCAATAAGATGATTGCGTGGCTTCGACGATAATTACGTTGTGTATTATTAGA